ATTCAACGAGCAATATGCTAAAAAGCCTAAATAGAAATATATTACGAAGAGAAAATAAATTGTTCTATATCTCTACCTTCAAAAACGCACCACCACATCCGATAGTATCGACGATCTTCGGTAGTCGTTTGATAGCAAATGGTTTTAGACCGTCGTCTATATAATGACCAAAGTAAAAAGTCGATTTATTATTTAGTTTATCCATCTTACTCGATGCTAGAATAATTGAATGAGACACACGAGTTACTATCATACATGTGTTGTTATTCTTTATTAACAACTTTTGTAATTCTCTAGCCATGAATAATACATCATCATTTGTCTAAATTAGATTTTTTTGTCTTCTGTCGTTGAAAACAAACAGAGTAAATATTGCATACATACACTGTTTTTCAGTTGATTTTGAGAAAAACATTTTACTTCCTTTGAAAAAAGAAAAGAACAAATTTCATTGTTCAATCTATATCATCCATCGTGATAAAAAAAATTATTCAAATCTCATTATTACATCCTACCTGTTCACTTCAGAATAGAAAATCTACAAGAGGTAATAACTGCATAAGAAGATCACCAAATTTCTGACAAATATATTCAGCTGATAAATTAAGAGCAAATATTTTCTTTATTTGAGTAGCATGTTCAGCCAGTTTGAACACTGCGGGTGTGGGTATGGGTGTTGATCTTCTCTCTGTGATACCTACACCTATATCCACACCCACACCCTTATTATTAGATTCAAACGGTAACAATCGAACATAAGTAATTTCAATATTAGAGAATCAATGGTTTATACCTCATTTCTTTTCCTGAATTAAATATAACGCAACACTTATTTAAGATAATACCTTTTTTATTTTAAAAGTAATAAAACGTAATGAAAATCAAAGCAAATGTCATTAATAGAGGAGAAACCATTTGTTTATTTCCATCGGCAATCCGTCGTCCATTAGCATCTGTTAAACCATTATCGTTAAATATCCTTTTCAGTTTTGAAACTGTTTCATCAGTATTGCATAGATTGCGATCACATTCAATATCAAATGATGTATAAGATCCGCCATCAAAAACGTGCACTGTAGGTTTACCATATTGGATGCAACCACGTGACTTGAACTTATTTCCTTGTAGATCATAATCTAAAGCGCATAGTTCATCAGATGAACATATAATTATTTCATTTCTCATATTATAGCATTGAATGGAACCGTTTCGCAAAGGATTTTTGATAATTGGAGCAATTAGTCCATATATAAGCTGTGCATTGTAGCCGCGACCAGTCATTTCCTCGATTCTGTTCTGGGCATATGGAAGAACACAATCAGTTCCTTTCGAACATTGATAATTAATTCTATAACTTAGGTAGGGTCCTGATGTTATATAAAAAGAATCAGTCGACAACGGAAGAGTGTCAAGTTCTATATCATACAACAACTTATGATACATTAAATTGATCTGAATAGAACAAACAGATCCTGATTTTCGTTGTTGACACTGCCCGTCAGGGATATTAAATGTTTGACCAAAATAGTATGGACCAAGAGAACAGTTGGTCCTACATTGGAGAGCATAACTAATGTCTGTTGCTACTAGTAGAATTAATAATAATGCAAACATTTTGTGTTTATTTGAAAATGCAAAAGAAAATCTACTTTTATATTCTTTATCAACAAACACGTGGGAAGGTTTGATGATAAAGATTGCTTTACTAACCAAACTAAAGTCAGAAACGCAAAATCTAATCGTGTTGTGATATGTGTCAGATTGCTATGATGTGTATATAAGAAAATGTAATCTCAAACATATTGTTCATACTGTTTTCCTTTAAATGAGTCACTAACTAATGAAACCATAATTAAATAAACGCCTACGAATGGTTCAAATACCAAGTATTTTAAGCAACTATCAAAATTGTTTTCTAAATTAGAAGATATATTTCAACTGCAAAAAACAGAACTCAATGTACTTAATGAGATAGTTCGGCTATTATCAGTATTAAAATTATAGTGATCAATTTTATCATTTTTCCGGTCCAATTTTTAAAACATGATGAAACACATATATTTTTTCTCAATCGATTCGAACTGACATCAATCATTGTTTTATTTTCTGATGTTATAATTACGAAATCGACTTGTCAATGATATACATCATTCACTTTACTAGCACATTGGTCATGTCGAGTTTCGATTTTGCTGTTAGAACGTGTTTTAAGTGTTCTTTTTATGATTTGATGTATCCACATTTTATTTAAAATTTATTTTTTCAATTTTATCTGGAATGGAACGTCATAATTCTATTTATGCTAGAGTTTCTGAAGGGTATGGGTGTAAGGTGCAGGTGTGGATGTAAGGTGTAAGTATTGGTGTGAATCCATAGAAGGTTAATACCCACACCCTCTTTTCATCGATTCGTCTTGCAAAAGATGCTGACATTCCATGTCAAATGAATCTATTTTTCTCATATGGTATCTATCTTTATCAATTTAATCATTTGAAATCATTTTCATTATATCGCATTGATGCCCTGATACAGTAGGGGTGGACCATTTACATTAATTTAAAATTAAGTTTAGTTTTTTGATTAACCATTAATATTAATGGTTAATGTTTTCCTTTAGAAACTTAATTCATTAATATTAATGATTAATGTTTAACCCCTTAACTGTTATTGACGTATATGTACGTCAATAACAGTTAAGGATTAAGCAAAATTTTCAATTTTGAAATCATTATTGTGAAATTAAATTTTCTTCAATTGTTATGATAATATGACTTCTATGTTGTCTACAGACCATTATAAAATATATCTGCTCGCAATTTTTTATAGGTCATTCGTGAATGGTTCTAAATTATTGAAATTTACTTTTTTAAGCGTTTACTGTTAAGTTTAAAAATTGACAATTAATGGGTTAATGGGACCATTAATCATTAATATTAAGTCATTAATATAAAGGAAAACATTAACCATTAATATTAATGATTAAGTGAAGTCATTAATTAATGTCATTAATTAAGTCCCATTAAATAAAATGGTCTACCCCTAGTTTCATGAGTCTTATATTAGTTAAAACGGCTTTAACCGGCAATACCGTATTTAAATATTCGTTTATTTGTTAAAGAGACTCTGACTTTTCTTTTTTATAGAGCAAGTTCAAGTGTGATTCATCTTGTTATTGATAGTCAATTGCTTCACGATACAACATTATTTGATAATCCATCACTCATATCTCTTTTTAATCAATTGCAGTCATTGTATTTAACGTCAGAGAATATCTATTTTTCTTTAAAATATGCATCTAAATTAGTCGAACGATTTCTATCATTAGTCCATGCTGAACTTCGAACAATTTGCCTTGATATAGATGCATTACTTGTTGATATTATTCTTGTTGGTTGGGCTAAATAGATTCACTTAAAAATAGTTTTTACCGACAGATTACAAATTGATAATCCATATTCACTTAACTATGTTATAGAAAAGCGTCGACAAGCACTTTCATTTAATATTTATAATGAAGATGAAGTAGTTGTCAAAATTGACGAAGAATTATTGGAGATTTATTTGAGTGATTATATGTGAACTAGCGTAACAAGAAACGAAAGAGAAAAATTTTACGTCTTACCAGTATATGTGGAAGAGGAGTAGTGTTATATTCTGACTGATTTAAAATAACGAAAATTTTTATTATAAAATTATATGACGAAATTATTCTACATGAACAAAATATGGAATAAAAACAAAAAATAGCAATGAGACATGCAATTCCTTACAGTTAAAAGAGAACACGAACAAAAAAAGAAAGGAAATATGTACTTATGTACAAAATTCATGTTTTTAATAAAATTTTTGTTCGAAAGTCCTATACACATAATCTTTTGTTTTGTTTAAGTGAATTATATCTAAGAAAACATTGTTGTTTTTCAAGAATAATCGATCATTAAAGAAACAATCTATCTTGTTTTGTTGATTTCGAACAGAATGTATTTTATTTTTCAGTCGATCTATTTTTAATTTGGCTTGTTGCTATTCATTCATTATTTTTATCCTTCTAACCTGAGAAATAAGTCTGTTGTATATATTGATTATATCCACAGAAGATCTCCACTCATCATTCTTAAAATCTCGGTTTATAATTTGCACTGACTATTTTCTTGTAAAATCTATGTAAGTTGCAGAAAATAATGAAAAGATTATCAATTTATCTAAATAAATTCATCGAACAAAATAGACGAAATGTTTCATATGCTAAAATTGAACACTTTCACCTAGTCTAGTCAAATAGTCAATATTGTTGTCATTGTATGAGTTATTATTTCCAACTGACATTTGATATGTGCATCAGAAAATCACAATAACTTAAACAATTTTTGTACTCTTATGAACTCGCGTTGCTTGTCGTATAACAATTAGAGGATAAATGTAGGGCATCAAAAATAATCGTGATTTTCTCTTCATTTTTTTGTTCATCAAAAAATACAAAAGACATGAAATTTAAACAAAATATTAAAAAATTTCGATTAAATCTTTTTTCCAACAAAATAGGAAACTTCAAACAAAATAACTTGGCAAAATTGAAAAATATTCAAGAATAATAGAAAACTTTTGCGGATAAATATTTAATATAGACAGCAGAAGTCGTTTTTCAATAAGAAATCAGAGTTAATGAGTTGTAGTCATCATTTTTTCATGAATGTTCCTTTGAAAAATATATTCGTCAATAACACTTAACGAGTTAATATAGAGAAGAGATCATTGAGGGCAGTTTCTATTTGTTTGTTTCTATACAGAACGCAAAAGTGTTTTTTGTGACCTACATGAGTGTCGATTGGTATATAACTATTTTCTATTTCTATTTCTGTTCTTTATAGTAAAGAAAATGATCGTTTTCTTTTTTTTTGTTTTCTAATTCAATAATACACTATAAGTACATCATTCAAGTTTAATTTATCTTTTTCTTCAGATTAACCATCGAATTTGTTATAAAAGAAAACACCTTCATTATGGAAGTAACACCTACAGAAGTTCGAAATGGTTCTACAAGTACACCATCTATCAATAATAGGAGTGTACGACAAAAAATAACAAGTCCACTTGTATGCAAAGTTTGTGGTAGTTCTGCTCAATATTCATATTACGGCGCTATTGTATGTTTTTCATGCAAAGTATTCTTTAGACGAAATGCACTAAATCGATCGGTTTGTTTAAATAAAAAAAAAAATCTTTGTTTTATTATATTGATTTATTTAGGTTCCACTTAAATGCAATTCTGGTGATCATTGTGAAATAAATGTTAATAATCGTCGAATTTGTTCATCTTGTCGACTTGCCAAATGTTTTGCACGTGGAATGACTGTTGAAATGATTCGATCTTCTTGGACCAAACAAACTATGATAAATCGAAAGAAAAAATCAATATCAACAGCTTTAGTTAGATTAGCTGACAGAAATCAACTTGCACAGGTCAAACTCTTTATTAATTGTTTTTCTTTTAATTATCTATATTCTATAATCTTTGATAAATCGACAAAAAAAAAACGACAGATTATTTCGAAACATTTTTGAGGGAAAGATTTTCAATACTCATTCTTTGAAAATATTGACCATTAAATCATTTTCTAAAAATTCTGAGTCACTTATTCTAAACAATTGTTAGTCATTTGTTAACTTGCAGTTCTTATTTATCGATCAGTTTTTCGAATTTCAACTTGACATTTTTATTTGAAAGAAAAAATATTGCTCCAAGTAGCTATCACAAATCCATCAAGATTGTCACATTAATTAAATATAGAAGATTTTTCATATATTTTTAAGAACAACTTCGGCAGTGTTTGAACAAAATCTAGAGAGAGAGAGGTAGTCTTCAAGATTCTATCAGATGATAAAAATATATCTGAAAGAATGTTTCTTGTTTTTCAAATTTCCTAAATAAATAAAGCATTAATTAATTTTGTTTGTTCATTATCTAGATTCCAACATTAAATTTATTACGATCAGATATATCTACATTGACCGTGGATCAATGGAATCATCTTTCAAATTTAGTCCATTGCTTTGATGAACATACTGAACATTCATTTATTGAACATTTTATTCATGAGCAAAGTGCATTACCTCCAAAATTTCGGTTCAAATATGCATCAGTCCGTAACTTTTTTACATCGATGATGAGTAAAGTTCAATTAGTATTTGAAAAGAATCGAGACATTTTTTCGTTATCTTTACATGATCGTAGTACATTGCTTCGTAGTACAGTGGAATATACAACAAGTATTGGTGGGGCCTTTATACTTCGACAAGCTCAATTGTTCGACAATCCGGTGTTTTTCAAATCTGCCGAGCTTATCTTTCGACCATCTGCAATAGCTTTGACTAAACATCTTATTGATCAACTCGATGCAGATATAACATTTATCAAAATTATATTTGCAGTTGTTGCTTTCTT